TTCCACCGATCGGGGGGGGGTGGGGTAATCCCCTTTACTTTCCTGAATATCCAGTTTGGGAAGTGCAAGAATTTGCCCAGATGAGCATGCAAGCAGTGCCCAAAAAACCTCATGAGACCTTCTAGAAGGAGGAGGCTTCCTACTGTTCCAGGTGGTCGTGGCTGCGTGGTAGTGGAGGTTGTGGCTCCTGTCGTGGCAGGGGTGGTTGTAAGTGGTTGTAGTAAGGCCACATTTGCCTTTCTAGCCATGTTTGTAGAACCAAGAAGTTATTGGATTTTGGTTGTCAGACTCCTGCCCCTCCGAGCCCTCCCGTTTATTGGGGACCCCTGTCCGAACTCCAACCTTCATGCTAGCGTGCTTGGGTTAAAGCAATCCTAAATCGCCAGATAATCGATGTCGAGCCAATCCTGCGTTCAGTTGTTTGAAGACTTTAAATAGACATCCTTGCTCAAATCCAATGTGTCCCGATTTGCCACTACCAAAGCACACCTAAGCTTGAGAAGACCAGATTGTGACGGTGCCTGTTTAAAACAGGTTGATCTGTGGATTACGAGAAAAGGAACAAATATAATATATATATATATACACATATTATCTATCGAATTGCACAATTATCGGGAAATAATGTTTCGTTTATTTACAGAATATATAGTTTTGGACATTGAACATTATATATAACATGACTAAGAGATTTGTGTGGTTTAGGTATTTAATTGAAATATATTATTATTGATTAAATATATATATATATTTGTTCTATATATTTAAAAGTATTTAGTTGATTGATAATGGTTTTTTATTTAACACAAATTGAGAAATTGAGAGGGAAAGAGAGAAATAATGATAAGGAATAAGAAATATAGGAAGATAATATAATGAATATTTGTTTATTATTATATATAATTTTTGATTAATGATTTATATAGAAATTATTGATTTATATTTAATTTATTAATTATTATTTAGAATAGAATTAAATTTTATATATATTATATAGATATAATTTATAATATATAATTATAATATTGATAGATTTTAAATGAATATGTTTTTTGGAATTAAATTATGGAATATTTGTATATTATATTAAATATAAATTGATGAAATTATTTAAAATTGTATAAATTAAAATATAAATAAATATTATTTTTTTAAAAATATGGATGGATGAGATTTAATTTGCCGATTCAATTTTTGTTGTTAATATCTTCGTATATTTCGATTTGAAGATTTGGATTGATGTTTTTTTTTGTATTGAAGATTGTTAATCTTTTGTGGAAGCAATTGTGTATAGTATTAATAAATCTTTGTCGGGTATTATGGGTTTTATTTATTTGAGTGTTTATAAATAATGAATATTATAATTATGAAATTGATATTGAGATAATATGAATTTTATAATGATATGATCTAATTTGTTACAAAGTTAACATTTGCTCGAGCAAGTGAAAAAGAATGAAAGTATGCTAAAATTATTGATTTCGGTTTTGCTTAGTATTTTGCCTATGAATAAAACGATCTTTATTCGATGGTTTTTTAGACGACGGATGTATAACCCTTGGTGGAGCATTGTGGAACAATCCTTATAGAGCCTTATGGATCTTTGTAAAACCTTAGGATCCATAGCCCTCGTAGAATCTTATGGAATTCTGAAATCCTCCTTGAAATTACCCCGGACCATCCCGCAACCCTCGTAGAACCTTGGAACCGTGTTGGAATAGATCCTTATCTTGCAAAACCTGGTGGAATTCTTATGGAACATTACCTCGAACTAGCCCGGACCACTGATGAAACCCTGGTGAAACCTTGGTGGAATTCTTATGGAATTTTCCCCGGACTACGCCGCACCCTCGAAGAAATTGGTGGAACCTAGTGGAACCCTCGTCCGAACCCGGGTGGATTTGGTGGAACCCTCGTGGAAATTTACCTATAGCCCTTGCAGAACCTGGTAAAACCCTAGCAGAATTTTGATGGAAATCTAGTGGAATCCTCGTGGAACCTTCCTGAAATCTAGCCCTCGAAGAAATTATTAGAATCCTGGTAGAACCCTCGTGGAACCTTACCTCAAACCACCCCGGACCACCCTGTAGTCCTGGTGGAACCCTTGTAGAATCTTACCTTAAACCACCTAGACCTGGTGGAACCCTGGTGTAACCCTGGTGGAGCCCTAGTAGAACCCTGGTGGAAACTCCTTAGTGGAATCCTGGTGGAACCTTAGCTTAGGGTCGTCCCGAACCACCCCGGAGCTTATCTGGGCTAAGACCCCAAAGCTAGAGGAGGAAACCTTTGTGTTTTCTTTGTTTTTCCATTTCTCAAAAAAAAAAAGAAAGACAGAAAAAAAGAAAGAAAAAGAGAAAAAGAAACAAAAAGAAAGAGATAGAAAAAAATAAGAAAAAAATATAAAAAAAGAGAACCAAAAAAAGAGAGAAAGAGAGAATTAAAAAAAGAGAGAAACACGAAAAGAAAAAGAACACAGAAAGAGAAAGAAGGAGGCAAGCAAGCAAGCAAGTAAACAAACAAATAAACCAATGGTAAAAACAATTAAATATAAAAACAAAAAATCAATTAAGCTTAAAAAAGAGATATACAATATACAATAACGCGGAAATATATAATCTTTATAAATCGTCCCATAAAAATAAATATAAACAAACAAAAAAATATCAACAAAACAGAAATAAAAAAAAAAAAACATTATCAAATAAATAAACACAAACACATAGAAATAAATAAAGATACACAAAAAATAGCCCGAGAGACAAACAGATACAAACAAACAAACAAACAAACAGAGACAGAGAAGCTCGGGCGATATCCCCAACAGCACCACACCCTCCTAGAATCCTCGTGGAACGCCCCGGGACCATCCTTACCGCCGGTGTTGCTGAGGATGCCGCCTTGTAAAGCAAAGCTACGAGTGATAGCGCAATCTCGCCCTGATCGGGGCCCGACGGCGCAATCGGGGACCCGATCGGGGCCCGACGGCATAATCGGGGCCCAATCGGGGCTCGACGGTGCAATCGGGGCCCCCGACGGTGCAATCGGGCCCCGATCGTCCCGTGGTATAACCCTAACCATCTATATTATAATTTAATGCCGATTCTCCTTCGTATATGGATTGCAAATGTAGTTATAACAAAACTAGACGATGCTAGTTTAGTACAATTAACGGGGCCCGACGGTGCAATCGGGCATATTATAATTCATGCCGGTTTTCCTTAGTATGCGGATTACAACTGTATCTATAGCAAAACTAAGCGATGCCAACTTAATACAATTAAGGGGGTCCGACTCAGGGCCCCGATCGGGGCGCGATAGCGTAATCGGGGCTGATCGGGCCCAAACGGTGCAATCGGGCGGGTCCCGACAATGCAATCGGGCCCCGACTTAGGCCCGGTGACCGCGCAAACCGTTCTCATGCAAGTTTCGTGGAGCTCAGCGTAAAACTTTGCTGGAATCTTTCTTCAGGGCTACCCCATAGCTTTTGCAGAATTTGGTAAAAACCTCATACAACCTTACCTCAAACCATCCCGAACCACCCCACAATCCTCGCAAAACCTCGTGGGACCCTAAAATCCTAATAGAACCCTCGTCCGGAGCACGATGGGCTAGTGGAACCTTTCCTCAAACCACCCCGGACTTTCCTATAACCCTAATAGAACCCTCGTAAAACCTTATCTCAAATCACCCAGACCATCTCGCAAATTGGAACGCTAATAGAACCCTAGCAAAACCCTCGTAATTCCCAAATAAAATTTTGTCAAACCCAAAATTTAACTCAGGGTCGCCCCAAACCACCCCAAAACCTATCTGGGCTCAAAACCCAAAAATTTCAACTATCGAGAAAAAAATATATATATATAAATAAAAAATAATAAATCAAAAAAAATAAAAATTATAACAAAAATACCCAACACAAAAATTTTAAAAAAAATCAAACAAATCTCAAAATTCCCATAAAATTTAACCCAATATGTTTTCATCAAATCGCCAAATTCTAACAAACATCTTCAAAAAAATAAAAGCTTATGCCACAACGAAAAATAAAATAAAATAAATATAATCATTCCCCAAAAAACGGCCAAAATATCACTATAACGATTTACCAATACACGAGAAATACGACCTCGAAGCCATACCGATTTATTAAAAAAATATAAAAATATATAATTATTATATTTTAAAGATTATAAATATCAATAATAAAGATCAATATTTAAATTCAAAAAATAAAAATGTTCAATTCTGATTAATGAATAATTTGTTTCAATTCATGTATCATATAAAAGTATATATTTTAGTGTTTATGTCTTTGTTCATTCCCAGCCTCCGAGTTCATGATCTTGTCTAGGTTTCCTTGGCAGCCGCCGCCTTGGCCTTCTTGATCCTGTCCCCCTGGTAGTGGGCGGCGGTGCGCGCCTTCTTCAGCTTCTTGTAGGCGGACTCGCCCTTCTCCGCCTCGGTGATGGCGCGCGCCTGGGCGAGAGACGTGGCTGGGAGGTTAGGTTTGAACCAATCTTTGGGGACATCAAGACAAAATCAGTGGACCACTGGATAAGTCGCTACTGGTGCATCCTTTGGGCTTGAGACAAAAAGATGGGAACACTGCATATTTAAGTCAATATTCTTCGAACAACCTTTTGGCTTCCCTTTGAAGGAACGCCCAAAGCAGGAAAAACAGTGGCACAGATGCCCAGTGGACATCCGATTTTTGTTTTTGGTTGCTTGACTTGAAAGGGGAAGCCTTCCCAAAAATAGGAAGAAGGGCACCACTGGGGTGGAACACTGGATAAGTCAATATTGTTTCAACCTTTGGCTTCCCTTAGGAACGCCCAAAGCAGATTGGGTTACGGAGATAACACAACACCTTGAATCAAATGCCACTGAGCTCTGCTAAAGGAAATGTGGATACCCTCAGCTCCAGTCGAAGGGTATGGCTGGGAATCGCCAAGAAAAGATGGCTTGAACCAATACTGCGTAAACCAGGGATTCCTTTTTGTGGGCAACCCCAAGGGGGTGGTCGATCCCCAAAACGACTGGGTTAAAGTTTACCTTGGAGTAGTAGACATGGAACCCGGCTCAAACAACTGCAACCAACCCTGCTGACTAGCGGCCGCTGGTTACCTTTGATTGGTGCCCCCGGTTCAGAGAATCCAACTTTTGGGGAATGGCGCGTTCGGAAAGACCAAAAAAAAACCATCGCACAATGACTTGTTCCGCAACAGGATGAAGCCATCCAAAGATTCGAGGTTACAACCCCAGCTTGCTGGCCCACGGAAGCGACCACCAGATTAGCATCTAAATGATCGTTTGAAGGGAAACCATCGGGGAACACAACATGCTGGAACGCAATACTGCCTTGGGTTTGAACAACACCTCTGGCGGTTCAAACAAAAAATCCCTGACGCCCTGATGCACAGTGACTAGTTTCCATGACCATTTTGTCTGGCTTTGTCACCTGAAAGGGGATTCCTCGCAAGGGAAATTCACATGGAACCCAGGAGGGGCCGATTCCCACGAAATTCCCCTAAAACTTGTCCCTCTTCAAGCTCCATTCATGTGCAGGAGTTCCAATGATCCACAGCCATGGTTGCACACCCAAAGTGTCCAGAAACACGCCTTTGTGGTACTTGAAAGGAAACCAACAACCGAAATGAAAGGGGTGGTCCTTGACGCACATACAGATACACACACAGACACAGACAAGAGACACACACACAGACACAGACACAACACACAGACAGACAAACACACAAACACACACAGATGCACACACAGACAGAGACACACAGAGACACGCAAACACTCACCGGCACACACGCACTCTCTCCCTCTCGCTCTCTCTCTCTCACACACACACCACGCCCGCCCGCGGGTTCGTTGCGAATTGAGTTCTGAAAGGCAAACAGGGGGTCCCCCAAAAGCGGATTGCCATGGCTTGAGTTCTAATGTGGGTAATTACCTGTCAAACCCGGGCATTGTCAACATGATCGGACTTCTCCTTTCCCCCTTTTACACAACCGCAACAAGGTACCAACTCAAAACTTCAAAAATGACTCACCTCTGTTCGTCTGCTCCAGTCGAAAAGTGGCCGGCCCGCCTTGATGCGCTTGCCCTCCTTGGGCACAGGGATGATTTCCTTCAAGGTGTTCTGCGCCACGTTCTGCAGCTCCGAGCGAGGGGTGTCGCCCTCGGCTGCAGACACATTGGGCAGGGTGTGTGTGTGTGTTGTGTTGAAGGTACCCTTTGGTTTAAAGGGAGGCCAACAGGAACACCACTACTCTTGGGGTTCCCTATTTTGATACGCTTGAAACCATGGAATGAAATGGCTTGAACTAGGAAACCAAAACTGGCGGCACGGTAAACATCAACTTTTGGTCCCCTCAACTTGAGGTTGCCTTGCCTGAACAAATTGGGCGCGGTTTAATCCAATGTGCGTTGCTTAAGCCACCAGGCCCCCCCCCCGTTTTTCACCAAATGGACGTGCTTTTTTGTAGGGTCCAACCAAAAATATAAACGAAGCCCTGTGGGTCCAAATCCCTTTTTCTGGCGGCCAAAAACATTGGTGGCTGAAACGGGGAGTTTATGTTGCCTGTCGCCCTGCCTTGCGCACAGCCTTCTTGCCGGACTTCTTCGGGAACACCGAGAGCTTGGACATGTAGAGCTTCAGGCGTTCCACGTTCGCCTCTCGTTCGCTTTGTATCTTCTGCTCGGGGGCGAAGCGGGGGGTGGAAGTTGGGTGCGACATCTGGGTAGACGCAACCAAAACTGGGTCCCAGGAAAATGCGCCGAAGGCCAAACAGTTGTGCAATGCGATGATGTCCCAATGAGGAATGGAGAAACATGGCAGAGAGGAAAAATCGAGCTGACCACCAAGAATGGTGCTGAGGAAGCTGAATCGAATCATTCTGGTGAACGGGGGGGGGGGGCGAACGATTTGCCCTCTGTTGAAAGGACATGAGGAATCCCATCTCAACCGGTGGACACAATTCACCAAAATAATGTCCAAAGGGTCCTAAATAAAACTCACACCCATTCCAAGAAAAACCAAAAGGAAGCTCCACAAGGGAAACCCGCACGAATCGGATAAAAGGGAACACAAGCTTTGTTGTTCAACCAACAAAAGGTCCAACGCATTCCAACGCATGCAAAACAGTCAGAATTGCGCAAATACGTCGCATATGCCGCGTATGCACGCATTTCAAGATGCCCCAAACGCCTGAAAAACATTAGCTCAATTCAAACCTGTTGAGTCACCCAAAAGGAAAACTGGTCGATCTTGGGCCCAACAATGGACCCTGCACAACCCATGAGATTTAACCTGCAACCGGGTTGAATCGCAACGCAACTCGTAGCCCCTGTCTGGTCTTGTCTGCCTGCAGGCTCTCCGTGCAACGGTTGCGGCGGCGGTGGTCCACTGCGATGCCGATGGTCTTTGCAAACTTTCGCGGGATCTTCGCCTCACGTTGCTCAACCCGTGAGACCCAGCGCTTCCAGCCATGAAAATCGGGAAGGGAAACCACTGTGTAAGAGCCAAAGGCCGAAAAATCCTGGTTGCCTACTAGTGGCAGCTGCAATCGCGCAAAAAAAGCGGAAAGACTCGGACGTCGCTAATTGTTTTTTTAACATCTATATAGGGTATACAGGGAACTATCACCATGTCCACTTCCACAAAAATGGACAATGTATAAAACAATTTGACAAAGAACGTATGTGGAAAGGGAGAAACATCTGATTCTGGTACCCTTCACTACATATTGACTTGGGGGCCTTCCCTCAGGGAAGCCATGGGTAATGGAGATAAGAAGAGGCCCCGGTTCAATGTGGGCCAAGATCCCTCCCTGAACATAAATTGTGGATGGACAAACGAACACCTAGCGAACGAACCACCGATGCCAACTGGCGCAAAATGTGTTCTATCCATCCACAAGTCACTACAATATGCCCAAAGGAGGCCTTTACAAAACGGCAAACAAACAAACCAACAAAAAACCAAACAAAAAACAACCAAACAAACACACAATTCACACACACGCACACAAACACCAACAACACCAAGCACGCAAGCAGACCAACGCACACACACACACATACACAACACACAGAACATCGAGTATCCTTGGTAAACGTCGAAGGTGACGTCGCTTGGCAAGCGTCAAATCACAGACGACGTCGCTGATTGAAACGGCAAAGATCTGTTGTTTTTGAAGGGCGCCATGCCAGCTGCGCATCACAACGTCCAGGCACTGCCAAGCAGGTACGTTTCACCGGAAAGATGCGAGGTCTTCGTTGGCCAAGGCTCGCGTTTTCCGGCATGTCAGACACACACAGAAGCCCGTTAGGGCCAGTGATTGGAGACATTCACACAAGGTCGAAAGCAAACTAGGGACATCACAGCAGTTGTGGGCTGCACTGTCTTGAACGACAACTTGTCAGGGGGGGCGGGCAATTTGCTCGTAAAGGACACGGCCAAACATGAACTGACAGCTTGCCCAGCGCATGTAATCCCTTGAGCGCACGAAGAGCGACATCCGTGTCTGCCAAGTTTCCAGCCCAGAACAACAAGTCTGCAGCACTCGCTGTGTCACAATGTGGGTGTGGGTCAATATTCTGGCGTGGAACGTTCCGCGGTGACGCGGACGTCTGGAACCAGTCAGTTACGTAAGGTTGGTTGTTCCGGACCTCTGGGAAGACATGTGTGGAGTCCTCAAGCACGCGTTCATTTAGTGTAAGATGGATAGATGAATGGATGAATGGATGGGTAGGATGAAGCGACCAGCCACCCTCGCGTCATTGGGGCACCGGTGCACCGTAGTCAAACCTGCCACAGCCGACCCACAAGGCTGGGAGGCGTACGCCGATGTACACCGATGCACAAGCCGATGTACATGTCCAGGGCATCCTTCAAAGACTTCTTTGACATCTCCAAAACCCTGGGATAAGTCGTCCTTGAAGGCTTCTTGGGGGGCATGGTGGGCTGCGTAAGAGCGCAGCTACTTACATGGGGCATGTGTGTGTGTGTGCATGTGGACTTGGTGGCAAATTGCTCCGCTGCGTCTGGAACACGTCTGGAACGGGTCTGGAACGGGGTCTGGAACGGTTACGCGAGTGGCTTGCACTTTGGAATGCTAGCAAGCAGCATGTAAACATGGCCGTTTCAACAAATGTGACGACCGAGAACGGTGTCGAACCGCTACCGCATCGTATCATCGTATCGCACCAACCAAAGTTCCGGAACACCGATACTCCTTTCTGCATTTCTTTCTCCTTCTTCTCTTTCTTGCTCCTTCTTTCTTGCTCCTTTGCTCCTTCACAAAAGAGAATGCCCTGGCTGGCTTGGAAGAAGACAGGGTTGACCCTTAACATTGACAGGCCGTTCCAAAAACACATCTGTCAACAGGACCGCTGCCCAATTCCATCCAAGTCCCAATGATTACAATCCACGCAGCCCTAACCACCAAAGGTCGACAAGTAAAACGCATCATTAGCACCTCAGGCTTCTCTCGAACATCAGCATTTGGCAAAACAAGGGGGGTCAATCATCTACCAAGTCACCTGACCGTCTGAATCAATAGACATACATATACATAAACAAGGTCTGGAACGGAAGGTCTGGAACATGCTTCTTTCTAGGCAAGGTCTGGAACGGAGGTCTGGAACGGAGGTCTGGATTGCATGTGGGTTCCGGACCCTGTTCCGGACCTTATAAATTGACTCGAAGCCATGTCAATGGCATAGCTTTTTCGCGGTCTGTTTGCTTGCAAGAACAGCAACAAGGCGCATCAAGGCAAAGCAAAGCACCGGTTTGGGACATGCGCCCCCTTGCCGCACCCCTCCAACAACAAACGGCCGGCTCGAAAATGTCACCAGCTCATCTGTCAAACTAGGGCCAGAGCAAGTCATTTGGGCCACTGATGTCAAGCTAGTGAGCGCGTCTCAAGGTTAGAAACCACACTGTTTGGCATAAGACAAGAGGTGGTTTCAAAACCAAAGTCGCTTTCAAAAACCAAGTTGCCCAGCATGGCAACCAAGGCTGTGCAAAATGCCATAGGCCCACAAATCAGTCTTTAGCCCATCTCCACGCAAAAAACTTTTCAAGAATATCTGGCATGCCGCTGCCGATGGTTACCCTTCCGATCCGTAGGTCGTACTGGGCGATCGATCAGCCACAAAAACCGCTCGAGCAGCTTGTGGCTGCAACTGGAGAGCTCAGGTAGCAATGTGTACAAGGCCACGGACCCTGATTCAAATTCATGTAGCGATTGACTCAAACCTGCAGCTGGTTTTGGATCACATCGTTCCGATGGTGCACAATCTCGAACAACCCCCGCAACTGGGCTATCTGAAGCATAAGATCTGCTGGCGTGATTGTGGGTGATGCACTTTCAAGATCATTTGCTGAGCAGCTACAAACATCTCCTGGTGTAAAATGCCTCGCAGCTGATTAACGCTCAGAGAACCCACTGCATCCGGCCGAGGCAAAGGTTGCAGACCCGCCGCCTGAAAAGCGGGATTGTTCAAAGTGGTCGAAGCATCATATTCTGGCTTGTGGGCTCCAGGCTGCGCACCAACTGCCCATGACAGCTGTTTTGTTGAACCTCAAGCTGCAGCCGGCGCCAGTGGGAGCTATGCAGGGGTCTGGCCCAGTCCAGTAATCTGTGCACGCCGAAGCGGCAGTATCTGTACAGGCAAAAATTGCCTTGTTACCATGTCCGGGTTTTGCCCGGACAGCACACGGGAAGAGAGGAAAAGGAGGTCAAGGTAGTAGTAGGAGGCGAATTGTTCCTGAGTGTCAGTATCCTTGGCAAACGTTAAAGGTGTCTTGTGAGTAGCCTTGGTAAACGTCAAGGGTGTGTTGCGAGCATCCTTGGTGTCTTGCGAATCCTTAGTATACATCAAACGTGTCTTGCAAGGGTCCTTGGTAAACGTCAAAGCTGACGTCACAAACTGATGGCGGACACAACTTGCAAGAAACTGCGAGTCTCCTTGGTAAACGTCGAAGGCGACGTGGCTTGGAAAGCATCATATCAAACACGACGTCGCTGAATCAACTGCTAAGATCTGTTGTGTTTGAGGCAGGCGCTGCCAAGCAGGTACGTTTCACCGGAAAATGTAAGGTCTTCGTTGGCCAAGGCTGGCATGTTTCCTCCTCGGCCTCCTGCTTGTCAATGAAATGCGAAAGGCATGCTTGTGACAGCATGTTTCACACATACACACACGCACAAAGCACACACACACAAGCACACACACACACAAGCACACACAAATTCGCAAACACACAAAGCACACAAAGCACACACACGAATTCACAAACACACAAAACACACAAAGCACACACACACACAAGCACACACACAAACCCACAAACACACACAAGCACACACACACAAGCACACACAAATTCACAAACACACAAAGCACACAAAGCACACACACACAAGCACACACACAAACCCACAAACACACACAAGCACACACAAATTCACAAACACACAAAGCCCACAAAGCACACACACACAAGCACACACACAAACCCACAAACACACACACACACAAGCACGCGCACACACACACAAGCACACACAAATTCACAAACACACAAAGCACACAAAGCACACACACACACAAGCACACACAAATTCACAAACCCACAAACACACACAAGCACACACACACACAAGCACACACAAATTCGCAAACACACACAAGCACACACACACACAAGCACACACAAATTCACAAACACACAAAGCCCACCAAGCACACACACACACAAGCACACACACAAACCCACAAACACACACACACAAGCACGCACACACACACACACAAGCACACACAAATTCACAAACACACAAAGCACACAAAGCACACACACACAAGCACACACACACACACAAACCCACAAACACACACACAAGCACACACACACACACACACAAGCACACACAAATTCGCAAACACACACAAGCACACACACACAAGCACACACAAATTCACAAACACACAAAGCCCACAAAGCCCACAAAGCACACACACTGAAAAAGAAACCACATGAGTCTAAAGAGGCCTCTTGACGCTTGGGTTCCAATCCGAGTTCCAGCGCCTCCTTCAGCTCATCCAGCGTGAAACCCTTGCCCAGCCGGAGCTTCATGTTGTAGCGCTGGGTGGGCGGGTGCACCACCGGACCTGAGGCGAAGGCCTCCAAAAGGTTGGGAAGGCGGTCTAGAAGGAAAAGCCCAAGGGAAACCGCCCTTCAGGGCTCCCCCAAAAAGGTGGATAGAACAAACAAGGGGGGGCAACAAAAAGTGGGGGGGTGGGGGTGGCTATGACACCCCAACCGGGGGCAGCGCAAACTTGATTGCCCAAGCCTCTTTCCAGGCTCAATCGGGAACCCGTAGCTGCAGGGCTAACCCGAGAATAATCTGCACTTGTCAATCACAACTTTGATGAATTGTGTTTGCCAAATCAAAACTGTTACAGTGTTTAGCTGGAGTGTAAACTTGTCAGGAGGGGGGGCTCGACTCTACAGTATGATCTAAACGTGTTGGCTACCCTGAGCAGTTATATGATGGGACCAATATGTCTATCTATGCCTTCTATGCTATCAAGAACGAGTTACCTATATGCACCAACATCTCAACGGCCTGTACTATAAGCTATCGAACATATCAAAGCGACACCAGGATCTTCATCCAGTCTGAGTCGCAACGTCTTTGATTCCCTGAAAATCAATATCCAAACATAACATATGAGTGATACATATAGCCAAACATAAACTCAAATCTCGGACTTAATGCGGTACTTGTTATGGGACACTTTCAGGATAGCTTGATGGCAATTTCCCTGCCAAACAGTTGAGCTGTATTTTCTCACAAGTGTTGAATGAAAACTCAACCAAATAGCATTCAAGCAAAACATGCGGGTGTGTCTTGTTTAAGGGGTTTCCTGTTGGTTGGTTTTAAAGGGAAACCAAAAGGACACCAACCATTGGGGTCTCCCTTTACAACCCCCCCTCAACTGGCTTGCTCTTCCACCCGAGCACAAGGTCCAGCGGCTTGTGGGTTTAATAGAAAAGCCAAACTTGTTTCCAAAAGGTCCTTCTGGTCGATTCAGACCGGCCATCAAATCCACTCCACAAAGGGTTTCGTCAAGAAACAATACTTCTGACTCTGTTCTTCATGCGTGTCGTTTTTAGGGGATCCCCAACTGGTGATTTTCCTCTTGGTGTCCTTTGAACACAACCAACAATGGGTGCCCAAAAAAGAAGATACCCATATATATATATACACAACATATATACATATGGGTGTGGGTCAAAAAAAAGGACCCAACAACTAAAACCTGGTAAATTGAAACAACAACTAAAACCTGCGGTCCCCTGGTCGTTTAGTTTTGACCCATACCCATATAGTCTGCAAAAAATGGAGGAGACCCCAGCGATCCTCAAAAAGAGACACACCCAATGCATCCTGAGGACCCGAATGCATCCCTTGGTTTCCCCTAGGCCCTAAACCAAATCTTAGGTCGATAGGCCCTTATTGGGCTGAGTGGTTCGGAACACTTTGGTTCCGAATCCTTGCGTTTTGTTGGTGCCTCTCCGAAGAAGTCTGAACTTCTACCACTAAAAAGGTAGACCCAAAGAGTTTACAGTCCAACTCAAGTGAGGCAAACGGTTCACCGTTTGGAACCTTGCCTAGACCGACACCAGGAAACCAAAAGGTGCACCAAGGTCAATTCGCACGTGGGGCCTTGGCGAGTTTCTTGGGATTTATTTTTGGTAATTGAAGAAACAATCTGTAATATCTAAAGCGAGCGATTCACAACAGTATAGAACAAAATCACAAAATACAGTTTAGGCAAAACCCCTGCTTGGTAACTGTGCAAATCCCCTCTGAAGCTTTTCTGGGATTTGATTTGGGCAAGCAGGCAGAAAAATTGGGATATGTTCTGGGTTAACCCTGCAAACCCCGTGGGAAGCGAGGGCCAAACTGCCCCGCGTTGCCAAGTGGCGCAGATACCCGGCCGCCGGCCGGGGGAAGACCTTCGCGGCCTTGGCCTTGCGGGCGTTGGCGCGGCGCTTCTTGCGCCCGGCCTGGTTCCTGGGCACGCGGGAGGACGCAAGCCGCTGTGAGCTACGTGAGTCTCCTGGCCCTAACCAACTTGCAACCAGGCTAACTGCACTTAGACTTGGGGAAATAAGTGGACTATAACCTGGGTTGACTGAGCTGGGAGACTGGGCTGGAGTGCTGGAGTGGAGAAACTGGAGTTGGCGGAAGACTCGAGTGGACTGGCAGGCTGGGCTGGGAGACTGGAATTGAATTGGGTTGAGGCTTTGAGACTGGGCTGGAGACTGAAGTGGGGTGGGCTGGAGTGAACTAAACACTAAACAAAGGCTGGAGTGAAGCCTCCATGCCACCCGCTTTTTTGTGTCATTGGTGCCAAGATGCAGCCAGGTCCGCATGAAGACCCGGTTCTTGCGTCCTGCCTGGCATCCATTGACCTTGCGGAAGTGCACGTTGGGAATGACATTGTTACCTGCCGTCTGGGACGCGAACCGGACGGGGACCGGGGACCGACACCCTGCTTTTGGTGTGGGGGGTGGGGGAGAAAACGGCTTTCGGAGAAATGTTCAGTTCAAGAGGAGCTTGTTATTTTGGGACCACCAAGGAACACCAAGCATTCTGGATAAGAGCACTTTTGTGAGTCAGGGGTCCTGTGTGTTTGTGTGTGGTTTTGTCTGCGAAAAAAAGGAACCCTTCGCGTGCACTCAGGTCATATAGCCCGCATAGCCCTGCCAAACCAAAGAACCCCCAAGAGGTTGGTTGCAGTTCAGTGAATGCCAGCGAAGATACAAGCAAGTCAAACACGTAGGTGCCAAAGGAATAGTAGACCTCCCAAAATAGCAACGTTGTCCTTCGCACCCACGCACAGATGCTTGAACCAAAGGCTTTGAATCCCAACCCTGGTCCCAGTTGCAGGGAGTGACCCAAAAGGCAGAAAAAGGATCCATGTTACTTTATTGTTCTTATTGAATGATTTTTCATATTTTTTCATGCAGGGGGGGGGGGGGCTGATCATAAATGTTGTGGTACCCCGCCGGGCAAAACAAGGCCAACGAGTACCACTTTCAACTGCCAAACCAACACAGGCTGAAGCCATCAGCAAACCCAGAAGTCACAAGTTGCAAGCCATCAAGTGGTCAGCTTCTGTGGTGTTGAGACTAGGCCGTCCACCAACTCGTTCTGGTCACGGCAAAGGGGCCAAGAAAAAGGGGTAGAAAACCTGCAACAAACAAAGGTCAATCGGCCAACCGCGAATGACAGTGTTGCGCAGCATAGCAGGAAAATCGCAAGCGGCTGAACCTCCTTTCGCTGCACCATGTACTTCGCTTGCTCAGGGGTCACATTGCAGCTGCTGCGTTGCTCAAGCTTCGCTCATGCGAGACGTCCCAGAGGCAGGTTCAACAGCTCTGCTTTTAGGATGCTGAAGGGAACCCCGGATGAAACCCGTCCTGCTAGCACAAAAGTGAAGAAACCACGGAAGAAGGCGACATTCCGGTGACAAATTGATCAAGAGTTCTTCATCAAGCTGGTTGTCCCCGAAGAGCAAAGCATCGCGGCGCCGTGCCCCCCGCCTCCGTGACCCATGGCTCCTATGATCTGTCTACTCCCGGTGCCTTGAGCCTCAAGCAACGTGGATTTGCTTGGACAATTTTCACCTAGGTCCTCCAGTACAAAGGTTCGAATAAGGGTGCCCTTTTTCTATTTTAGTAGGGGAACCCTCCCCAAAAAAGGGTAAAGGGGGATTTAGTGTCACTGACGGGAATCCATACGCACCAAGCTGCTTTGCTCAATGAGCTTCTTCTTCCAGTGCTGCGAAATGGATTTGACCCCTTTGCAAAAGGTAACTTTTCCGGGTTCAATGGAAAACCAACTGATTTCGAACCAACAAGTGAAAGTCTAACAAATCCAACCAAATCGCCATCAAGTAATGGAATAAGCTCAGGCGATATCCCCAACAGCACCACACCCTCGCGGAAACGGTTTTGCTGAGGATGCCGCCTTGTAACTTTATAGAGCAAAGCTAGACAGCGCAATCGCGCCCGGATCGGGGCCCGACGGCGCAATCCGGGCCCGGTGCAATCGGGGCCCGACGGTGCAATTGGGGCCCGGGGGCGATGCCAGCTTGGTACAGTTGACGGGGCCCGACTGAGTCGGGGGCCGACGGCGCAATTGGGGCCCCGACCCGAACGGTGCAATCGGGCCCCGACGATGCAATCGGGCCCCTGGGCCCGGTGAACCTCGCAAACCGTCCTTGTGGAACTCAGCCTTTGTTGGAACCTTCCTCAGGGCTGCCCCATAGCTTGTGCAGAAGTTGGTGGAAAGCTCGTGGAGCGCTTTTGGAACCTTACACCACAGCCCTCGCAGGCCTCGTGGAACCCTTCAAAACCCAAAGCCCACCAAGTAATACTCAGTAATGCCAAGCATTTACCCTGCTGCACAGTGAGTCCCGCAGCAACGTGCTCTGATTTGCCAAAAAGCCAACATTTCGGGCCCGCGTTGTCTGAGCAAGTGGGCAAGTCAAAGCAGTGAAAGTGTGCTGAAAACCATTGATTTCGGTTTTGCTTAGTGTTCCGCCCATGAGGAAAGCGATCTTCTGAGCCCTCAATTTACTGCTCCGATGGCTTTCAGACGGCGGGCGCACGACACATTGCTTCCCAGAACATTTGTGGAACCTTGTGAAACCCCGTGGAGCCTTGTGGAACCCTTGTGGAATTATTGTGGAACTCTGTGGAACCCTGTGGAACCTTACCCCAGGGCCGCCCCAGACCACCCCGGAGCCTATCTGGGCTAAGACCCCAAAGCTTTCAGCTGTTGGGGAAAACTATCCATTTGGGAAGCCCAACGGTTCCCCAAAAATGGGGGCCTTTGGGTCACACCTGATGGACCAGTTGATCAAGCCATGCGATTCACGCGGGCCTTCTGCCGACCTGCCGCCCAAACGTGCAACAAGTTGCGTCGCGCAAGGCACTGCTGGTGGGTTTCCCAAAATGGGGAAGCCCCTCAAATGGCAACATACTGTGGATGGACAAACTCCTGCACGACTTGGAAACCATGGTTGAAACCATTGTTTATTGGTATTTGCGGGGGGAATCATCATTCCAGGGTTTCTCAGGCGGTGCACGATTTTGTGCATCCACAGTATGGCAACAATCTCCTTTTGGTTTCCCCTTTAGTACCAAATCAAAGAAGCTGTTCCACCATTTTGAGAAACTCCCATCTCCTGTTTCGTGCAAGCCGCTTTCGAACTGTGCACGTGCTTGCACCACACCAGCGGCTCCGAGCCGCGGTATCTTGAAGTTTCCGGAAACAAATGTTTCGGCTCATAGGAATCGCGGCCCCGTCGCACAGATCATCAGAAAGCATGGTATTGAAACCTAAAGTGCTGGTATGGCTAATCAATGGCATCATAAAGGTCCCAACCCAACAAACAGAATGCAAAGGGCGGATCTCCGCCATGTGCACTGCTGGTGACGGTTGGGCCAAAGTCCAAACTTTTTGTTTACGCCAAAAAAGTATAAAAGTCACCCCCAAGTGGTGCCAACTCAAAAGTCACCCCCTAAGTGGTGGGTCACCCAGGAAAACGTTTAACTGATCCGGAAAGATCCAACATGGGCGCGCCGAGATCCCTACTCGCAAAACTTCGGTGACGCATGCTGAAACTGCCCTCATGGACTACGGCGAGGCCACCAAAAAACCGGCGGCTGATCGATTCGGTCAGGTAGGGTCCCGTATTCCAACGAGTCGCCACGTAAAGAACAAGAACACGGAACTTGATTTTTCCAGGGGTCACCACATGGAACTTGAATTTTCCAGGGGTCACCCCTGCCCTCCCTCTCCCAAAATCGTCATGGGGATCTTGAGATCGGAAGGCTTCACCTCACTGAAGTCGAATCCTCGGCCACGGAACGACGGAACGAGGCGCCAATGGGTCGAAATGGCTGGCTGCTGTAGCCACCCCTCTGCAACAAGGTGCTTTGGGTCGAATACGGAAAATCCGTATTCGGTTTCAACCAAAACGTCAAAAAGTCCGAAGATACGTTACCAAATAGCCATAAAGCTGGAAAGCGAGATCAAACCTACAACTGCTGGCCACATGATTGCCAAAGTCGCCTAAGCGGTAAGGGAAACACTCCCAGTTGCTGACTGTCAACCGCCAGACACAGTCAAAAACATGACTCCAGTTCTAAAGTGGTCTACCCAAAACCCATTTAGGCGGATATCCACGACGAGTGATTCAGTGATGGTTCCTGGGCCCCATGCACTCGCGGGGGCTGGGCAGGTGCTTGCCTTGGCGGAAAGGTCCTGCAAGCAAAGGCGGTCTCTCACGTGGATTGGCCAAGAAGTCTATGTCTCAGTTGTTCAGTGACCCTGGAAAAAAAGGGACCCCTTTTTGGGGAAGACCATTTTTAGTCGGGCAGCCACCAAAAAAAAGGGGGGAAAAATGCCACTGAACAACTGAGATGTTGGTTGCTTTCCAATGAAATGGTCCCAGAACGTAAGTCCAGAAACTCGGGAAGAGAACATTTCCGGAGTCTCCGTGACCCTTCCGATAAACCGTCCCTTGTCGTTTCCTTTAAGGGGACTCCTGGGTTCATTCCCTCATTCCCTGCTGAGCACCAGCAAACCGTTCAGCCGTTGAAAAAAAAGCAAAGAGCCGCGGGGTGTCGACGAAGAGTTTGTGCATCGTGCGCCTCTCTTCTGGCTCCGCATCACGCTCTCGCGGCGCATCGGCGAGACGAACTTTCAACGGCCTCGCGAGAAAGGTGGGTCAACAGGAACTCGACTGTGTGTCCTCATTTACAGGCTATACAAAACAACCTCCCAAAAGGTGCCCTCAGCAAAAGTATAGACTTGAGCAAAGCCCAATACCTATGGAAAGGGGTTCCACCAGAATGGTCATACAGGTTTCTTTGGGCCCGGTATAAAACGTAGAACCTACCCAAGCGGCCAGCAGGTGCCAATTTCAGCATGCCACCTCAACAGTAGCTGGTGGACATAAATCTCCACCTGCAAATGATTTCCACCAAAGGGTCCCCAGTAAAGTTCACACCCTGTTGGTCGTGCTGAGCATTGCAAAGAGTATTCTGGGTGGTTCAAACTCAATCCGCAAGATTGTTGGGTGTATTGCGTGCAATCGAGGCACTGCTTGTGATAGGACAAGTCTTCTGCATATCAGGGTGTTTCTCAAAAAGGCGGATCCCCTGTTGTTTGCTATGGTACAGGGACAACTGGGAACCGCTACCACTTTAGGGAACAGCTATTTTGAGACCCCCCTCCTCTTTTGGACATCGAGACATCCATCCTTGCCAGAACCGCCGAGAGGATAGGCATCTGGCATGGGAATGCAAGCAAAATGCACATGACCCACGGGCAGTATCGTTTGTTCCCTCGGCCTCCCCAAACCAGTAGTATAGCAGACTACCAATACGTTTGTCATGCACTCACATCCACTGAACGCCAACGGCTGCTTTTTAGGCACCACTTGGGACTTGGAAACCAATTGTCGTTGAGGGGTGCTGGATTATCGCTTGGCCAGCTTCTCGGCTATCGCATGACCTCTTGGTTTTCAGCTTAAGAGACGCTCTTGCTTAAATAATGTTCAATTGAATAGAAAACCAGAGAAAACCCCATTTATACCGACCGCATAAATGCACATGAAGCGAGAGATGCCCTATATAAATGTTGCAAGTATTGGAACGAGGATTTTGCCATAACTTACCATGGTTGCGTGGTTGGTGGTCCCCGAGATTCGGTATATTTGCCTTTGCTCAAAACAGGAGGAACGATTGGGTCTGGGCTTACTCCTAAAAATGAATCCCGGAAAGAAAACCCAGAGCATCGGACCCTGGGTTCCTTCCGAATTGCAGGGGAGTAGTTACTTGGGTGTTCGTTGCCAACTGAGGAAGTGGTTAGCCTAAGATAAACCTGCTTACTGGGCTAGCTCCACTTGGACTTACAAGTAGGTTCTAGCCAAATTGCTAGATGTTTACAAACTTGGCAACAAAGCACAAGTGGGTGTTCGGTGCTAAGGAAACAGTAGACATGGAAGTTGCTCGATGGTGGACCCCCTTCGTTTAATCTCTCTATATATTAATATGTACATAAGTATCCACAAGTTTGGTACCAAGTACTCCCTTACAACTTATATCAAATCATGGAACCCGTCGGGTTTTCCAAAAGAAGCTTCCTTTAAAAATGACTCCCGTTACTTTGTAGGAGTGTACTTGGGCTATAACCTAGGTTACCAAGAGCTTGCTAACTTGGCAGAACATCCAGGGTTCCCCTTCAGCTCACGCCCTGAGTTCCGAGACTTTCTCCAATCACTTTGGGGCTGACCATTTGAGTGGGACCCATGAACGCCATCGAACCATTTCTTCCGCGAGTCCCACGCGTCGGGAAAAAAACCGAAAAACAAATCCCCACGCCTCGACTTCCCTCTGACCAACAGCTCTTGCCCGCTGAGCTGCTCGAGAATCCGATCCGCCGCCTGAGCACTGACCTGGGCATTTGCAGACCAGCAACCAGAACAAGGGCATTTGAGTACCAAACTGGCACCAAAGTGGCGAACCATTTCGGTACCCATGTTTGGGAGATGAAAAGAAACCAAGGTGAGACCTGTTTTTCCAAATATATCTAAGGGTGAAATTTTGTCACCACCAGAGGATCGGAACCGCAGGCTAAAGGCCTTTCCATTTGCCAGCGCAAGTCATTTTGGTGTTACCCTATGTTTGACCCGCACCTATTTGAGTCATAAAAACTGATCGGTACCATGGTGAACCCACAATGCAAAGAGTTACCAAGGCTGCACCCATCTCTTTGGGACTGTCCCTTACTGCCCCTGCAACTACCCGGGTTTTTTGATTGTGGCTCATTTGCAGGTATGGATTTTGAAGGTTCTGATTACCCAAATAAGCTGCCAAGGCAGTCGACTTTACCGCTGGTGCAGCTTTTGACACCTAATATCTCCAACACCCAAACAAACCCACACGCACACACGCACACACGCACAAACGAACACACGAACAAACACACACACACAAAGAAACACAGACACACAGACACGGACACACAGACACACAGACACACAGACACACAGACACACAGACACACAGACACACAGACACACAGGCACCCAGACACACACAGACACACAGACACACAGGCACACAGGCACACAGACTCACAGACACACACACACACAGACACACAGACACACAGACACACAGACACACAGACACACACAGACACACAGACACGCAAACACACACACACACACCCAAACACACCCACACACACACACAGACACACACGGAGGCACACAGACACACAGAGGCACACAGGCACACAGGCACAAAGGCACACAGGCACACAGACACACAGACACACAGACACACAGACACACAGACACACACACACACACACAGGCACACAGACACACACACACACAGACACACACACACACACCCAAACACACACACACACAAACACACAAACACACAAACACACAAACACACACACACACACACAAACACACAGACACACAGACACACAGACAAACACTCACACACACACACACCGTTGCCAAGGACTGAAAGGTGATCAGCTTTCAGAACCAAATATGGACCAAATCAAAGGCTTCGCGAGAATCGGGGGCCTTGGGATTTGGACGGCGCGTTTTTTCCAGTTCGGGCTGCCCGGCCACATGCAGGATCACGCCGATGCCACGCCCGGGGCGCTGCGATAGCAGCTTCACGGACTGAACAGCGCCCCGGTCAACTCCAGCCTCGAGTTGCCAGAGATCTCTGAGATTGGGCGGAAAAAATCAAACACCTGATGGGTCTGTGTGTGTGTGTGAAGGCGTGTGAAGGCGTGTGAAGGCGAAGGCGTGCGAAGGCGTGCGAAGGCGTGCGAAGGCGTGTGAAGGCGTGCGAAGGCATGCGAAGGCGTGCGAAGGCGTGCGAAGGCGTGTGAAGGCGTGTGAAGGCGTGTGAAGGCGTGTGAAGGCGTGTGAAGGCGTGTGAAGGCGTGTCAAGGTGTGCGAAGGTGTATCTGCGTGTGTTTGTGTCTGTGTGTCTGCGTGTGTGTTTTATATATTTATTTCTATATACACATAAATATATGTTATATATATATATGTATATATATATATATATTGTATGTGTACCTTGTTTTGTTCTAGAGAGAACAGCTAGAAGGCAAGCCAGCATCTTGCGGGGTCCCCTAAAACCGAAACACCCATCTGGCCATATTTTGGGTCCAAACAAAAGAAGCCCCAAACTGGCGGCTTGCCTCTTCCCGTGAAGCCCAGAGAAAAGGGTTCCCTTGCAAAAGCTCCATATTCAGATGTTGCCCAGAATTGCGAGTTCTAAATTTGTAGGCGGCGTGTTAAACACCAACCCCCTTTCCACCACCACCACCCCCCCAAAGTTCCCCAAAAAGAGCTTGTGTGGAATGCGAACTGTTATGTCAAAACTTGCAACGGTCCATCGGGTATTGCCCGGCTCCGGCTCTTCCAAGATATCTGTCTAGAGCTGGTTCCATTACCAGCCAAGGGGAAAGAGCGGTACATAGCCCCCATACAACAGATGCATAAAGGTTACAATTCCCCTTGGAGCTGGTGGTTGTATGGAAACCCTCGTGGAATGAATCTGGATATGGCCAAACGGTTGTGGACTGTGCGCTTGGCTGATTTTGGGACTAGCGGAGCTCATTCCAAAGGTTTGGGCGAAGGTTCGGGAGGCTGAACGCCCAAACCGGACATCCTCGAAGTGGGATGGACTTTTCCGACGCTTCCCATTACCCTCAGATGCGACCATGAGCAAATGGGTTTGTCTCGAAATCGGAATTCGGAGCCCCAAAAATGGCTTCGATTGTCCGTTTGGTTTCCCTTACAACAACAAGGGGTAGCCTCCAAAAAAGACCCACCCGAAGAGGTTTTGCGGTGTCCATTTGACTGGCCAGCTCGCATACCTTCCACTGCTACCAGGGCTCCCACCGAGAGTCAGGCCCTTTTCGCGGGAGTTTGCAGCTTTGGAGTTTGGCGCTGTCGACCAAAAAAACGCCAGGCACCAGAAGGGATCGGTGAAAACAGCCCATAGGGGAGACCGAAATGTTTCTCTTGCTCGCTTTCTTTTCCACACCTCTCAACTCACCGGCATGGGCTTGTACTGTGCCCGGGATCCGGGATCTGCGTCACACCACCCGCTGCCCCCTCTCCCGCAGCCTGGTGCAGAAACTTGTGTACAGACGCAGCCGTCCACGTGTTGGGTATCTGAAGCAAGGCCAATCATTCAGCAGGATGTGTTGAAATGGGACGGGACCCAACCATGGCTTCGGTTTCCCTGATGCTTTCGTACCCTTACAGAAGCATGCACCCATCTCGGCAGGACAGCAACGTAGAAATAATATACTGAATAGGCAAGTGTCCTATCAAATATAACGTGCAAGAGAAGAGACAAGCAAGGGCTCAGGGCAGAATCCGCCTTGGATATTGCGCAAAGATCATCCCCGCATATAAGTGTGAGTTCAAGCGCTGAGAGGGAGTAGCTAAGGGATGCCGCCCCTCTCGTGGAAACAGAAATCCACAAAGCAAACACTCCGGCAGCTTTGGGTGAGAATTCAACTGGGCTGTCCGTTTTCAGATCCCCCGCCAAAAGTGACTAACTTTTAGCGGGTTGAATTCGGAAATCCAACCACTAAACCAATTAAAAAGATCTAACAACCTAAGGAACCGGATGGCTGGGGACAACATGCTGGCAAGCACGACCCCAATCACTTGCCCGCCGGGTAATTGGTTCTCTTAGCTCTATATGCTCCGGGAGCGCCCTTCGTTACTTGGCCCAAACGTATTGCAAACCCAAGGGACGTCACCAAAATATGGTATACGGTATATGTACACTTGTTCCTGCTTCGAGCGAAGGAAAACCCCAAAACGAGTTGAAACCATGGCTTCTTATCAACTTGCAAACATAGTTTTTGGCGAGAAGGTGTTCCACTTCCGACTACTCTGTACTCCCCTGCAAAACACCATGGAACAGAAAGGGGTTTATTCAAGGGAGTCAAAGAAACCAAACAGCAGATCTTCATGTTACATGATATGAATTCCCCAACATCTGCGAAAACAGGGGCCCTCATAGCCGCCCTTTCTGCAAATAAAAGGGGGTCCCGCCAATTTCTACCAACTCATCTCCTGAAGGACACCCAGGCCTCGCCGAGATAAACGTCCTAGGCGCAAGTGCGCGAGTGAAATGGATCCAAACACCTCAGAGGTCCCTACAAGCACAGTAGACGATATGGCCGTGGGTCAAAAGTAGGGTAACCAGTTGCCCAAAATGGCTTGCCCTGGCAGTGGAACTAAAATTTATGCGGTCCCCCCAGTGGCTTACTTGTGACTCATACCCATATGCTTCCTTTAAACATCATTCTTCTACTGGCTCCAAAGGTGATCTTTAACCCTCAACCCAAAGCCGGCTTACCTCCATTCCCGAACAAGCAAACGGTCGTTATCAGGACCTTTTGCAGGTTTCATGGGCTTTTGGGTCACACGAAAGCCCAGCCAAGGGGAATATAGAGAGCCCCGTAGCCCAAGCCCACTCTACGCGCTTGTTAAAGTGAGTGCTGTTTCCAGTGAAAAAAAACCTGGCGCAACGAGCTAAGTCTTCGAATCACCGGATCCTGCCCCCTCTTTTTCGCAAGGCGGCACACACGTGCGTCCTCAACCACCCAAACAAAAAAGGCCCGATTCCGCATCAACCTTCCTTAGCCCGGCTCTGCACTGAAACATATACTTTCAGATGATGGTTCATATTTAGTCTACCTCCAACATATTGTAAAATGGGTGTGTCTTTTGAGGACTCTCATGGCTCCATGGTGGTTGCCCGTTTGGCTTTCCTTTGCAAACCACCAAAGCAGGTGCCCTCAAACAAATGCAAAAAGGACACACACACACACACAACTAGTTTTGCAGTTCCCTACGCTTCAGGGCAGCTTTTGCACCAGCCAAAACCACGACTCCAGTCGGCCAAGGCGGAGAATCAGATGAAAGATCGGGAATCTATTTGCAGTTTGGGCATTTCTTATAACGGGGACCAACATCAGCGCTTTCCTGTTGGTTTCCCTTTAAAACCATTCGACAAAGGGTCCACCAATTTGAGAAACACGCATATATATATATATATATTCTATCCTTATATCTTTGAATTGCACGGCTTTGGCGAAACATGTGAGTGGAGTGTCTTTAAGCATCGACGAGAACTTGGGTCTGTGCGCGATGTTTTCGTTTGTACGTCCGTGTGCTGTCGGTGGGTGTGTAGAGGTGTAGATGTAGCCGTGAGTCTGTGTCTGTGTGTCCGTGTGTGAAGGTGTCATGGGGCAAACAGGATACAGCAGTAACACATGTTCTCTACCTGGTGTTCGACCCAACGGCTTGGAAAGGTCTCCAAAGTGCAAAACACTGCAATGTCGTTGGGAAGGTGTGTCTCCCCAAGCATCAGCAAGGCCCTCAAAAAGGGCCAGAAGTCCGAAACTTTGCCATCCTGAGTTCAATTCAATGGAAAAATATGGGGGTTGATCAATAGTCCCTTCGTGACCATGGGTAACTTTTCTCATGTGGGAAATATCAAATCCTTTTAGTGGGTTTCCCCAATGGTCATCCCATGTAAAGGATCTTTTGATCAACCCGCATATGCTTACCGAGGGCTGCAAACATTCTCTGGATCCTGCCAAATCCTAGTGCGAGAGAATGCCCCTCTTCCTCTGCGTCGCCTTCTCGCGCGAGGCTGCATGCAAACAAAAATGAGCGACCCTGGCAATAGCGCATTGGGAGATGTGTCAGAATAGGGGGACGCAAAAAGCTGTGGCTTCCCTGTTGGATTCCCTGTGAACCATGCCTTCAAAAGCGCATTGACAAACACAGAAACAAGCAAGCAAGCAAAACAAAATAAAGCAAAACAAGCAAGCAGGCCGGCCAGCAAGCACGCAAGCAAACACCCAAAACACCCAAACACCCACCACACACACACACAAACACACAAACACACCGACACACTCACACCCACACACAAACACACAAACACACCATGCACACTCGCACGCACGCACGTATGCATGCACGCAAGCATGCACTCACACACACACACACACACACACCAGCACAGGCAAGCATGCTCACGTGCACAGGCTTGCACACTTCTGCACGCACATGTGCCCATGCGCCACGAGCTCCACGCACGAAAGTACATTTGCTTTTGAGGATATTTGTTTGGTTCAGTGCTAATGTTCAACAATGAACTTGGCCCGCAGAGTGCTGCAGGGTGCGCACACATAGAGGCCCACCCATGCCCGCACAAAACCCACACCCCGGCAATATTGCACGTTAAACTCAGATGCGTACATCTCTTTGTTGAGGAAACTAGTTATTGGTTGGTTCAAAGCGAGCATAACAGTAACACAACCATTTGGGTTCCATCTCAAGACAAATATCCCGAACAAAAACGGCCTCGGTGTTTCTTTTGGTTTCCCTTCTAACCCACTAAAGCGTGTTCCCTGAAAGAAAAACAAACATAATGTAACATAATGGGTATAAATCTCAATCAGGGATCCTTTGGTGTCCACCTTTCCCCACTCTTGAGGTGGTTCCAACTCTTGAAAATCATGGCCACAGTGGCTTCCCTTCTAAACCATCCAAAGACTGGGTTCCCTCAACTTGCCTTGGTAGGTTCCATCACGAGACAAACCTCACAAACCCCCAAACGGGATCCCAACTTGCCCAAAAGACGTGGAACTTGGTTAAAACCTTTGGGGCGACTCTATGGAACATCTTTCTCTTTTCCGGTCCATCGATCCGGTCGTTCGCCGGTCGTTGGCCGGTCGAATACGCGGGCCGCTTTTACGCGACGGCGTCCCATCTCCACCGAGGCTCGGTGCAAACGGGGTTGAAGTTCTTCGCATGCTTCGCCACCTTGGCCCTGACAGGCCTCCCACAGCGTTTTGGACGGCGCCAAGCCGTCAAGGCCAGGCGTTGGGTTTGCGCTTTTTTTGAGGCGTGGAAATCCGAGTTCCACCGTGTTTGTGGGTTTGTTTCAAGGGAAACCAGGTGGACAGCCACCTTTTTTCTGGCTCTCATTTTTTTTGAGAGAACCCCTTCTACCTATTAACCGCCCCCGATAAATATTTGTTTGTTAAGGGTGGATTTATTCATGGGGGAAGCGAGGAAAGAGGCCATGCACTTTAGATAGCGTGTGGATCGCATCTTTAAGCAGGGCTCTTTGGAACCTCTTTGGGTTTGTATCTGATTGAGTTGGTACCCTTATTGTGGGGTTGGTCAAAAGAGAAACCAGCAGAAAACCAAATTCCATTTCTGGAATATCTCTTTGACGCATACTCAAATGCATGGCGCGCTCAAAAACTGACACAGTAGCCTCCATCGACACAGAA